TCCTGGATAAAACGTATCCTATGTCCTTTATAGGGTCTCAAACTATCTTTTTACCAAATTTCATCTAAATCAGTTCTGTAGATACAGAGATTACCCCCACAACGTCACAAACTCATAAATTCACAAACTTCACCTCTTTGTAATATTAGTATAGATTATATATAAGCAATGTTTTTAAAATATTTTTCCTTTCATATCGCTAAGTAACAAATATTATTTAAATTTAAATAATATGGCTAATTTTTACAAAATTACCTTTTCAAAACTTTGCTAACAATAAACGTTTAAGTAAAGACACATGCGCGTTAACATTCACTTATCAGATGGATGGTCATCTCTACTTTACGTAAGTGATTAGCGCTAGTATTGTTGTAGCTGATTTAAATATAATAATAATATTTCAGTTCAATATATATATAATCCATAGTAATTAGATGTTAATATTATAATTCTTTATTATTATACAAATTGCCGTGTCAGGTCACTTGTGGCTTCCCTTTTTCTTTTAAAATCAATAAAACGACGATAGGCAATTCCTTCAGGTCAAAATTCGTCTTGCATAAGCAAATCTAGTTTGTGTTTTGGAACTAAAATTTTGAATGATATATAATATTAGCAACGTGCTGTTGTACTGTCTTCATAGCAAGTACAACAGATCTCTTTATACTGAACCCACTCGGAGGCAAAAGCGAAGCCGGAATCAGCCTAAGAAGTGAGCGATATTTACATATAATAGCAAGCAGCAGTCAATAATTATAGATTTTTCTTTATATATTACTCACTTAGCACGTTTTCTGGAATAATTTATAATATACATTTAATTATATTTCTAATCTATACTTATATTATAAAGAGGTAGAGTTTGTTTGTTTAAACGCGTTAATCTCAGTAACTACGATACGATTAAAAAAATTTTTTTTGCATTAAATAGCCCGTTTATTGAGGAAGGCTATATAGGCGTATAATACATATATAATTTATCAATTCCATACTAACCGTTCCATACTAACATAAAAACTTAACTATAATATAGAGAAAGCCACTAAAGCACTAAAAAAAAGTTTTAGTCCTACTTTGTTAAAACTATACTAGGAAATAATACACAGTGCTAATGCTGACGGAAACGGCTAAAAATCATATAAGAATGCTTTAAATGATTGCATGGTTACTGGGTAGTAATAGAAGAAAAAAATTGGTTGGTTTAGAACTAACTTCTTGTTCTCCCTGCCCATTTCCCAATCACTTGGGGTCGGCGCAGTACATCTTCTGTCCCCCCCAACGTGCGTTCACCTTATCATGGTGGGGGGGCTCAGTAGTGCCCGGCAACCCAACCGGGCGCGAAGCCAAGAAACGCACAGGGAGGTGGCCCACTTCGGTGGGCGGTGGGCATGTGGGTTGCTCCTGGTACTTCTCTGATAGCAGAGTGGACATTGGAGCAACCCCATGGTTGTGGTGGTCTGCTTCGGCAGACCTGCCGTCGGGGCGTCGTAGTTGAATGCGTAAGCGATCCTGCGACGCTCCATTAAGACGGGGGAAGGTTTTGTTGGGTTTTAGTGGGTAGTACTAGCTTTATCACGCCGGTGCCTCGGTGGTGTAGTGGCTAGCATGTACGGTTGCACACCCGGAGGTCCTGGGTTCGAGTCCCGGGTCGGGCCAAGTTTAGTTATTGAGTCTTCCTGTATAGTAAGTCTCAGTAACCGCCCGGAGTTGGGAAGTTGGCGGTGTTTCACCCCCGTGCCTCGGAGAGCACGTAAAGCCGTCGGTCCTGCGCCTTAACTCTCACCGGTCGTGTCGAGTGGTCGTCCCACCGGAGTATGAGAGTGATAGGAATAGAGAGTGCACTTGTGTCTGCGCGTACACTTGAGCACTATAATATCTCCTGCGCAGTTGGCTAATCTCATTGAGATTGGCCGCCGTGGCCGGAATCGGCTAGGAGAACATCATCACGCCGGTGAGTCCCACACCTCGTGCGTAAATGCATTTCCCAAAGTTAAAAAAAAAAGTACATCTTCTGAGTACAGAAGTAGAAGATAGAGAAGAGCAGTAGCTGATAGGATTTGGCAAAAGTTTTACGACCGGCCGCCTCACGCCTGCCTGACGTCAACCCTCCTTGGGAATGCTATTGTCTCTCTTTGTCTGAATGGTGTCGCGGAAGTCTTGTAATTATTATGCACATTCGATTTTGTTGTCTTTTAAAACAATTTTTTATGCTATTACTTAAGTTTTCAATGTTATTTTCGGATATATTTTATAATACATTTTGATTACACCATAAATTTTGTTTGGTTTAGAACTAACTGACTTCGATAATTGCATATAAATGATTGAAATTTTAATCATAAAGCTTTAAATATATATTTGTGACTTAATAACCCACGGCTGTTACCTACATCGCTCTACAAGATATTTAAACTCAGCTAATAGTTATACGACGTTCAAACGATTATGTCACGAAAATAAAATAAAATGACCACCGCCGTTTCCGTTTAAAACGAAACTAAAAGTGCACTCTAATGTAGTATAAATCGTAGATATTAAATACGAAGCGCTTTGACTACTTTTCTTTATCTCGCTAACAACTTTTTAATTGTAGAAAAAAAAGGAGGACCGTTACGTTTGGCGAATTTAGATGAATATTGAATATACATCCCAAGTTATTGGGAATACTAGCGACTCACGCTCGCTTCGCTCGGATTCGTCCCTAGCTTGATTTCCCATACAAACTTTCATCCCCATTTACACCCTCTTAAGGGATGATTTCCGGGATAAAAAGTATCCTATATCCTTCCCAGGGTCTCAAACTATCTTCTCATCAAATTTCATCTAAATCAGTTCAGTAGATCCAGAGATTACCCCCTACAACGTCACAATCTCATAAACTCACAAACTTTACCTCTTTATAATATTAGTATAGATGAATGATAGTTTGTTCTACTCATTATTAACATTGTAGTACACAGCATATTGCGTTTTCAAACAGTGATCTTACCGTGTATCAGTATGAATTGTCTTATTCTAGATATGTACTTTTTAGATTTATATGTTTATTGTGATTGTATATAGTCACGTAACAAGGTTAATATTGTCCTAATTACCTGCGACGTGTCGCAAGCACTTGCGATGCGTGCTGTGTATTTTTACATAACTCGCCCGCGAAGAGGCCTTACTGCTACTACCGATGTTAGACTGTTTGCTTACAAATCGGTTTTACAAGAACATAATCGGATACACAATATTAGTAATACTAATCAAAGAGAAATTTAATATATTATGTACTAGCATTGCCCGCGGCTACGTCCGCGTTCAGATGACCAAAAACCAAATTCTTAGGTTTTACATATTAGTATACTCTTACATTGCAGTTTTTGTATTTTTTCTCAGAAATGAGATATTTTCCCACGGTAAAAAGTATCCTATATGTTAACCCGAATAACCAGCTATCACCATACCAAATTTCATCAAAATCCCTCCAGTGGCCTTGCTGTGATGCGGTTACAAACAGACAGACAGACTGACAAAAATTCTAAAAACAATAGATTCGGCCTATCGATAAAAATGTCTATTTCAATAAGATTTTCCAAAAAATATTTAATGTACAGATTCGGCTTAGTTACAATTTCATTATATGTATAGATAATTTTTGCTCTATCTTAGTTTCATTCGATATAGTGTTATAAAATAAAAGATAATAAATTACTAAGTGCAACAGTTAGCCAAAGCAAAATATTTACGAGTTAGAATATGTTTCTAAACATTCCTTTGCGCAAGCACCGTATTTGTTTCTTTGATAGAGTCGAATATAGAATTTGTACAAAGAATAATTGCAACAGTCGGAACTAAACTTGTTCTCTAAACGGATTCATTAATATTTGCTTTATTCTAATGATAGAGTCAACTTACACTCGTCTCCTTCATACACATTTTTCCTCTTAGAGACGTCATCGCCGCGTATCTAACGACAAACTATTGCGTGGTACTCGTATATATGTACGTATTATGTTGCAACCGTATTCTTATTATCCACCGCGCTTGTTAGCATTAGCTATGTCGATTGTTATTTTACAAGAGATGAAGACTTTAAATAATTGTCATTGTTTCAGTATTTCCTTGTTTATTGTACATTTTTATTTGAATTACTAGCGGCTCACACTCGCTTCGCTCGGGTTCGTCGCTAGGTGCGTTTTAAATAGATATAAATAGTTATTAGCCAGCGTTAGCCATATAAATTTAAATTTTTTTTTGTTAATAATATTGACAAATATTGACATTAATATTTATACGATACTAACGTCACTCAATTGTTTTGCCTTCCCGGAACCTCTCCACTAACACTTAAACTTTATGGTATGTTATTAAAGTTCAAATTGACTTCTAAGTATTATTACGAATCTTTTGTATGGGAGTATAGAAAAGTGTTGTTTTTAGACTTTTTCAGGCAATTTGTTACATTTTCTCTCTGTAAGAACCATCCTCGTAATTCAAGGAATATTCTAAAAAAAGAATTAGCGAAATCGGTTCATCTGCTCTCGAGATTTGCGCTTACTAAGACATTCAGCGATTCATTTTTATATTATATAAGATATGAATATGAATATATGAATTATTAATTTTTTATTAGTTTTAATGTAAAAATCTTGTTCTATTTAATTACATACCGCAAAATTAAAGAATGTTCGTATTAACCAACAAAACAAAAAGCATACTACTTCGAGTCTACCTTATATTTTAAATATATCTTTGTAATTGGATATTATTATTATATTTCAATAGAATGTGAAACGTCTCGCGCTAAGCACGAACGATGAATATTAAAAAGATATTTTTATTTTATTTACTGGCAGTAATTTGTCATACAATATTTTGATAAATATTCATATACTTGTGTCATGAGTCAAGAGTCGTGAGCCATAATATAATTCGCATTGTCACACCGAGGAAACAAGTGTGTTCATATTCGCACATTGTTTTGTTTTGGAGATGTTCACGTCAGACGCATCGCAATGTGCGGTCGGGCGGAGTTGGGCGGGCGGGCGGCGGCTAGGTCAAGTGTAGGGCGGACTCAGCCGTTAGGTAATACTCTTAATTTGTCGTCACGTCCACTGGAAACGGACACAGTGGAAAGCAAAACGAATGTATGTCGACACGTAACAGCCAACACAAAGTGCCGGCTACGCCTCCGCCTGTTCTGCGCTCGCGCAATATATTCCGTCCCAAATAACAATCAAATATTTCACCAAAACTATTTTCATAATGTCCTTGTCCACTGCCTTAAATCTTAATTTGTCGCGGATTGTTAGTTCTCTGACTAATACTTGTCTAAGTAAAATCGTAGTTGCGAGTCAGCCGCTAAAACGATCAACTATTATTTCTAAATCGTTGAAAATTTTCAAGCACATTGAGATTGATCAATTCTGTGCGACGAGAAGTAAAAATATACTTATAATAATATAAAAAATATATTGTAAAATAATTGGTTCATCACTAAATTGTCCTTTTGTTTAACAACATTTAAATAAAATCATATTAAGGTTAAGTCATGCAAGAAGGATGACCTCCAAACTGCAGGTCACGCGACCTTAACCTCACAAAAATTTAATGAAAATAGAAATTAAAAATTTTCATAGACAAAGTAGATTCATACTAATTTAAATCTTTGATTAAATAAACCTTTGATATGTGTTTATTAATAAAAACTTAACTAACATTATATTATTTCGCGAAATTCCGGTGCACGTAAAAGTTTAATTTATGACAGTGTTATGTATAAGGCAGTCATGCTCACGTGAAAGGGTTCGGGTGACCTTCAGTATCGTTTCCTCGGAAACACTTCACCGGCACCGCAAATTAAGTAAATCACAAATTATAAAATTCACAAAAATATTGTACTGACGGCTCCGCCGAGGCTCTAGACGACAATGCTCCGACAAATTAAGCTATCCAAATTTAGTGTTGAAATTCAATATGGAGCAATTTGGATCGGGTAGAGCATCGGCGGTTACGCAAGTGAGAGCGCGGGTACGTACCGGGTGGACGCGGGCGGCTGGTGGGCGCTGAGCGCGTGCGGGCGGGACGGGCGCGAGTCGCGGAGTGGCGCCTGCGCACGCGCCGCCACACTCACCACCCTCGAGCGCCCTGCCTCCCCCCTCCCCTCCCTGCCCATCGCCCCCTCGCACACCGCACACCACCACCTCTTATCTCCGCCGCGCTACATGACCGGGCTTGCAGAGTGCTCTCAAAACCCGCTTCCGCTGCCTGAAAACTGATACGAGTTCCGTACACATATAAGAGCATTAACATAATGTTTTTATCATTAGTTTTATTAATTATAAATTATTTTTATTATTAGATACAATTAGCTTTATTAATTATAAGTAATTAATATTTACAACATTTCTTGTTTTCACTTCAATGAAGAAATCAATAACTTTTACCTACAGTTGTAATAAGCCCAAGGCAAATTACAATTTCTTAATCACTAGCGACTTACCCTCGTTACGCGCGGGTGCTCCTATGGGTGAGGTGCCTCTCAGTAGTCTATGTGCATATGTATCTGTGTACGTAAGTTCATCCAAGTCCGCCCTTTCCGCCCTTCCAGTTAGATTGTTAGAAAAATGAAAAGTCTATGAGTAAAGATTGTAATTTTAAATTAAACACCATAGATAAATATCAAGACCACCTACGACGTAAAACTTAAGCTAACGGACTGGCTTCTAAAACAGGATTATTTGAAAACAAAATCACTGCTGATCTACTCCAGATAAGAACCATTTCTTTCATATAATCACTATCCATTCACAACAAAATCACACACAACAAACACACGCACACACACATTAACACTCTTACACACTCATCACAGACACATACATATATACATATATGACAAATGACAGCATTTCAGATTAATATTTTTCATTTTTCATTCGTAAAAGTATATAGTAATAGTGTTGCTTAGTAATTTGTCTTTTTAAATAATAGCAAACAAAATTAAAATTATTATTTTTCATTAATTTTAACTTTTTAAATTACACATAGAACAATTATGTGGCTTAAATAATTAATATTATATTTTATATTTTTCTTTATGGTTATAAATATAATAATGGCAACACTAAGTATAGATTACTAATTAATATTTTTAAAATTGTAATAATTATAATGATAACAGCAAAAATTAAATAAATAATATTCCATATTCAATTATAAAACGAGTTAAAATTATAAAAATGTTTAAAGTTAAAAAATATTGTAAGGTAATTGGTGCAATTTTCATTCTGTTATTTGTGGGTAGGCTGTCTGTAACAACTATACCTTAGAGATATCTAACACCTCGTCAAACGTCAAAAACCAAAAAAACGTCAGAAACCAAAAATCCAAATAAATCCGCGAAGAAATCCGAAATAGTTTTATTTAAAATATCCTACTGTTCTAAAAATTTGGTTTGCTAATAAAAAATCTTGAGCTTTAGTTCATCCTAAGTTATCTGCTTTGTGTACATAATTCGATTATTCAAAATTAAGAATTAATACATATATTTAAATATCAAATATTGTTGTAGCAGAAAAAAAAACAAGAAATTGTGATTTAAATGTATTTTAAAATGTTGTATGTGCTTATAAATAAATTTCAGGATTATATATACAGAATTTGGCACCCATTTGGGTCTCAATTCTTTTAGCGGCGAAATCAAGCATATTCTTAACTAGTGACTCACCCTGGCTTCGCTCGGGTTTGTCCCTAGCTTGCTTCCCAATACAAACTTTCATCGACATTTTCACTCCCTTAAGGGATGATTTCTGGGATAAAAACGAACTATCTTGTTACCAAATCTCATGTAAATCGGTTCAGTAGATCCAGAGATTACCCCCTACAACGTCACAAACTCACAAACTTTACCTCTATATAATATTAGTATAGACAAAGGTATGTGAGTGTAGTTGTATAATATATTATTATTTGTCCTTCTATTGTCTTTACTTGTATTTTTATGTAAGTCTTAAATTACAAACTTGTCTTCTTAGATTTGCCATTGTTATAATTTTTTTCTCCCAGTAAGCGATGCACGGAACAACATAACCGGTTACAAATTAACTAAACGATCTAGTTTCATCGTTCATCATTTACTTAATTTTAATACAACTTATGATTTAAGGATTTATTCATAATTATGTAAGATTTCATATCTTGTATATATCATGTAACTTTGTAAGAGTATCCATACTGATATTATAAATGTGAAAGTGTGTTTGTTTGTTTATTTGTTTGTTTGTTTGTTTGTTTGTTTGTTTGTTTGTTTGTTTTTTTTTCACGTCGAAACGGAGAGACGGATTGGCGTGATTTTTTGTGTGGAGATAATTGGAGAGCTGAAGAGTAACATAGGCTACTTTTTATCGCAGGAGATTATTTCATTCCCACGGGAAAACACGTTACAATACAACCCAAAACATTCTTATGATCAGAATTACTTAAAACTTGGTATTAATGCTTTTCAATACAATTAATAAATATGTGTTTTAGCATTTTTCGAAATTCATCGCATAAGGGTGTAAAATACGGGATGAAAGTTTGTATGAAACCTATCTTTTTAGTTCTTTTTGTAGTTTGAGCGCGAGCGAAGCCGCGGGTTCTGCTAGTATGAATATTATTTTATTTTTATTGATGAATGAACTGGCAGTCAGAAAGAAATTGTCGTCGTCCTGAAAGCTTTGTTTAGTGTAAGCTACCTGAAGACTAAACATGCCGTCTTATTAATCTTTTATTGTTTTTGTAACATCCCTTCAAAATTTATTGTTAAAATGATGTTTTCCTGACCGATTCCGGCCACGGCGGCCAATCTCATTGAGACTAGCCAACTGCGCAGGAGATATTATAGTGTACAAGTGTACGCGCAGACACAACGTGCACTCTCTATTCCTGTCACTCTCATACTCCGGTGGGACGACTACTCGACACGACCAGTGAGAGTTAAGGCGCAGGACCGACGGCTTTATGTGCTCTCCGAGGCACGGGGGTAAAACACCGCAAATTTCCCAACTCCGGGCTATTGCTGAGACTTACTATACAGAAAGACTCAATAGCTAAACTTGCCACGACCCGGGACTCGAACCTAGGACCTCCGGGTGTACAGCCGTACATGCTAGCCACTGCACCACCGAGGCAGTTAAAAATATATATAATATGATATGCCCGTTTTGTTAGTATTCATTGAACATTGAAAGAAAAATATGGGTATATTAATGAAACAAAGGCAGTGTTACCATTTATTTTAATATTTTTTCATGTTTTGTGTTATTATTTTAATTACCTATTATTAAACTTAGTATATTCAGTGTTAAAACCTAGTTACTTAATCCTTATCTCATCCTAATAATCATAAATAATTGGGTATATAGTGTATTATCTTTTGAATTATAGTTACTACTAGATGATAAAATGTACATAATTACGGAATGTAACGAGATTTCTCTTTAATTTGATCTCATACAAGCGATTTAACCTCGCTCGTTCAGGCGCGTCCCTAGCTGTATTTTTGTGTAACATTTTTTTGCTTTATTTTAGACCGTTTAAGCGGTTTAATTTATAAAACAATTCATCGGTCAGTTGTTTTTATTTTTTTTGTCGACTTCAATGAAAGTTATTATGATTTCTGACTGTAATCACATATAATTAATCTATACTAATATTATAAAGAGGTAAAGTTTATGAGATTGTGAGTTTGTGACGTTGTAGGGCAATCTTTGGATCTACTGAACCGATTTAGATGAAATTTGGTAAGAAGATAGTTGGAGATTCTGGAAAGGATTAAGAATACTTTTTATCCTGAAAATCATCCCTTAAGGGGGTGAAAATGGGAATTAAAATTTGTATGGGGAATCAAAATCCTATAGCACTCGCGGGCAATGTAGCTTCCTATTGGTGAAAGAATTTTCAGGATTAATAGTTTCAGAGATTTCACGGCCTTCAGTGTGCCGCATGGAACTGCATGGAGCCGCATGGAGCCGCATGGAGCCGCATGGAGCCGCACACTGCACTCGTTGCGCAACGCGGGCAAGATAAATTGTATCAACAGTATTAAGTAGCTTAAATGTTACTCAACACGAGTCAAGTGAGTGTGTCCCTGTAACGAGTAACTTAATGTATTAATGAGAGACTGCATAATTTTGTGATAGTAATTTGCGGTTAAAATATATGTATAATAAGTTAGTATAAACAACAATATTGAACAAAAATTCTGCAATAATTAAAATATAATTACATGAGCGCAGAGAGCAAGTGCGGCGCACTGCAGTGAGTGGGCGGTCAAGGGTGCGCCTACTGATCTTTGCTCCCTATTATTACTCTTAGCGTGCAGTAATCGTAAATTATTATGTAATAAAATTCTTAACTACTATTTAAGGTAGTTGCATTGCCTATAGACATATATATATATATATATATATATATATATATATATATATATATATATATATATATATAGTGGACACGTAAGTAATAAATTTATATTAATAGGTTGGCTATATTCATGAACTGACGATTCGCCCACGCTTCACTTCACTCATCACCTTAAAATTCATACAAACTAACTTCATTCAACCTATCCCACAGAATCTCCTTATCATAAATAAATAAACAAATATTTTAGTACACTAACACACAGCACCATCTAGGTCCATGTTAAGCTATGAGGCTTGAGTTAAGGATACCAGATAGTTGATACACTTGTAACTTTAAATACATACATATTATAAATATAAACACCCATGACTGGAGTAGAAACATTCGTGCTCATCACACAAATGAATGCCCCAGCGGGACTCGAATCCGCAAACCCTAGCAAAGCAAGTAGGGTAGCATTACAAACTGAGCTAAACGTGTCGTCAAGAATCATAGAAATTTTGTATTTTCGATTATCATGTTTTTCTATTTTAATCTACAAAATTCGCCGTGAAAGTCCCGCAACATTTGTTTCAGCAGTTTTCCTTTTATCCTTTATCTCGCGGGAACTAACACTGTCACCCTATTCGTCTATTCGTTAGCGAAATGTTTATTTGATTTTTTAAATATATTAAGTGATTATTTTTAATTTTTAAAAATTGGCATTTAGTAACTTGAAAAAAGAACCCAATAAATGCATTTATTTATTTTCCTTTTTTCCTTATTTTTTAAGTAAAACTACGCACTACACACTACTTGACTTGGGTGGTAAGCTGGTGAATGCGTTACGAACAAAATGTACGTACGTTCGTTGCCATGGTAACCG